CTGTGCAGCTCACTTAATTATCCTCCCTCACTTTATCTGAAGAATTACGCTGAAATCATGGACATTCATTTCACAGAAAAAACAACCTTCCAATCAAGTATAATCTATTTCGGATTACTTGTTGGAGTATGTTTGGCTCATGGGAAGGGCATGTGTGAAGCTACGATTTTTGGAAATACATTTAACAGAATATATCAAATTTAATTCAGACGAGTTTGTTTATGCGGTTCCAGTTACAAAAGTGTTTCTGCTAAAAAATTCAACCAAAATTCAACAAAATATATATAACATAAAATGCCAGAGGATTTTTAGTTTGATTTTACAGATTTATTTAGGTTTGGAAAAGTGGTGCGAAATGCTAGGTTTTAAGCTTTGTTAAATTGTCTGTCATATTCACATGAATATCGAAAGTAAAAATACAAATCAAGTGAAAAAACATCAAGAAACATAATTATAACACACACACTCACACATAGAGACTTAAAAAAAAACAGAAAATGAGTCACAGCTCTGTGCCCATAGGGATCCAGACAAGCGGATTACAGTCAGAAATGTTTTTCCTGTTGGGATATTGGGGGAAAAAAAATCATAATAGCAAAATACACCAACATCAAATCCTTAGAAGCAGCAAAAGTCTGACAGAAATTATGCACAGCCTTCTTCACACAATAGTCCTTCAGCCTTTGTCACTCAGCATTGGCCTGAACACAACACACAACAGACATTGTGTGACTCCAAATGACTAATGAATATCAGTCAAAACACGAGCCAAACAACGTGCCCCACTTACAATTCTCCTTCCTCTCCCACGTTTAGACGACACCTGAAATGAAAGTTGGCCTAAGAGTGATCTGAACTAATGGCATCACACAACATTCTTACTTTTCCTCCACAAATCCCTGTGATTGTTTTCGGTAACCCCAGAGCTCCATCTCTGATTAGCGAGGGGAACTTAATAGGAGTCGCACCACTGCTTCAGCTTCATAAATAGCCCTGCTGTGTTAAATCTCAGGCAGGGGAAGACGGAAGAAGACAATCAGAAATTATTCTCTGTGACACAGCTTATTCTTTTCTCCCCCCCACTATGCCTCCCCATCCTCCATCATTCTTCTGGAATCTTCCAATCACGAAACACATCCTGGGATCTGAAAGATTCCCGTGTACCTTTTTCAAATTATAATATTCAACTTGCCCACGCAAAAAACAATGCATTCCCCTCCTTTGGGAACTGCAGCACATAAGAGTAAAACGCGTCGGCCATCTGTGGGCCTCTCAAGCACCCCCCATTTACCGACACATCAGAGTCTGACAGCTACAGCCTGTACAACAATAATGCCAACATTACATTGTTGATACACTTCTGTGAGGCGTCTTTCAGACAGTTACTGCTCGTGTGTGCATACGAGTGTGTGCCAAGTGTTGGATTTTTTGTTCAGCAGGACAGGAAAACAAAGAGATAGAGACACTGCTTTAGGATATGTGTGGTGCTGAAACCACAGAAGGAAGCCCACAGAGAGCATTGGAGATGAGCTCAGACAGGCAAAAATCAGCCATAATGGTAAAATAAACAGCCACACAGTGTTTGCTTCTCCTCTGCAATGTTGCTCGGGTTGACTGATAGAGACGCAACCCCAGTTCAAATCCGCTGGCATGCTAAGTGACATTAACAAAGGAGATTTTGCAGCCAACTGGCGAGACAAAGAGGAAGCCGTGAGAGGAAAGGCAGCTTAACAGAAACCCACCTCAGCAACCCTTGTTCCCCTAATCACTGGAAGACACTCGACTCTACTCCTGTCATTAATTCACCCAGACAAAAACTGTTACCAGATATCATCATTTATTTATGGTATTTAACAGGGAAAATGCTCCCTTTGAATAATGCATTTGGTGGAAGAGGGGTGCCGAGCTGGGTTTGGGGGTTTGGGGGGTTGAGGGGGGTGACTGATGAATATTAATGAGCTGTGCCTGGAAGGACTGTGGTAAGCTACCTTTTTTTTTTTTTTCTAACCACGGGGCCTCCTGGGCTTTGTCCGCTCTGCCACTGACCATTATAGCCCAGCTGCGCTCCTCATTTGCTTGGCTCTGTGTGCAGAGGCTAGTTCAACACGGCTAATGCCAGACCATTATATCATTCGCCAAGACAAAGCCGGCCGCGGCCCCCCTTAAGCTGGGCTCCAGCTGCTTGGTGGCATCAGGTTGGAGGAGTGAACGGACGCGTAACTGTCAATCAGACAGACTGACGTGCCCCGGTGAGCAAAGGTACAGCCTTCATTAGGATGGTTAAACGACCCCAGGACAGGGGGAAAAGTGAATCGCTGCCTAAAATGTGATCTACAGTCATCAGAAGTCTGCTGCTACACACACAATTTGAACAGTGGGGAAGCATGCACAGCCATGATCATTTATACAGCCAAAATTAAATATGTGCATACGCTGCTGTGTGGGTTTTCACTGGTTAATTGGATCAGAGTTATCCAAGTCTGTAAATGAGTCCCTTTTTTGCACAAAGCCTCTGGCAACCCCCCTCCTCCATCACGGACCAACAAAAAAAACCCACATAAGCTTGCATAAGGTGAGCCTAAAAGGGGCTTTAAAAAAAACATATGCACAAGAGAAACACACAAATTGATGAATATACTTGTTCGACTGTAAAATTCCAATATGGCCTGCTATTGGCCACAGCAAGCATCACAGCTGGCTCACAGCAACTCGCTCTTTCATCTATAAGGCTTATAGCTCAAGGCTTTTACTGCCCAAACAGCCAAAAGCAAGCCTAGTGATGCTGTGCTTGACTGTGTGGAGTAGGTAGGATGCCCTTTTTTTATTTCCCAGTGCCATACCAGAGCAGCCATGTTGTCTTGAAGCACAGCAGAGGGTTCATTCTATTAATATGAATTCTTTCCATTGGCAGCGTCTCTTTAAAAATGCCCTGTTTGTCATTCGTTTGCTTGGATGCAACTCAAGAGCTCAATTGAATTCTCGCCAATTCACATCTTCTGCTACAAGTGTCTGCACTAAACAGAGCAGCCAGCCAGGACACATTATTGAAATACATGACAACACAACCTCATGCAAAGAGCAGATAATGCTATCAAACTGCTCCGAGCTGTCACCTCCGTCTCCCGGTCTTCATTCCTGCCTATTTTCTCTCCTCCTATTCCTTTATTGCGCCTGAGATGCGATGGCAACGTTTCTGTTTCCGCGTTTGGCCTTGACCACACTTGGAGCGGAGCCACTAAGAAGCGCTCAACCTCTCTCAGAGGGAATATTGTTCATCCATTGTAATGCCTCATCACACCGAAAATGTGAAAATGGGAGCAGCGAACTGAAAACATCACAGAAAAGAACACCTTCCCCGAGAACGATGACAATAAGGGCAGATACCGTGATCCAGCGGAGGAGTGAGGACTGAAAGTCCACACACCATGAGACATTAAGAGAAGAGACAAAGAAGACAAACAAAGAGATCATCTGCAATATGCATGAGAGAACAGAGGGATAAAAAGATGGAAAAGGGAGCAGGGAACTTAAAATGTGGCCCTGACTTATTACGCAAGAGGGGATGACAATACTCAAGTAGTTTATTACCAAAGCCAAGGCAGTGCCAGCAGAAGTGAAACACACACGGGTATCACATATACAAAGATCTACTTGTGGTTTCCCAACCAATGAGAGGTAAGTTATTTGATTTAAAAGAACTAAACTGTAACCAACAAGTTTGGTCTTGGATGTAGATATCAAATGCATTGGTCACATATCTCTGAAAACATGTGTGGGATGAGGTTGGAGGGGATAAAGGGGTATTGAATATCAAAAATAATACCAAAGACCCATTGTAGGAATGGTTGGTAAGCTGTGTGTGTGTGCCCCTGTGTGCACGGATACCTGAGACAAAAGATGAGCACAAGAAAAACAGAATAAGTGGCAAGAAAAAAGAAAGCAAGCTAGTAACCATTTTGCAAACTGCTTGGTCGAATCTCTGCTTAATTTCCCATGGGGTCACGAGCAACTCTGCTCCTTCTCTCACCGCCACGCTGTATCTGAAACACTGCCATGCACTCGTTAAAATTAAAAGAGGGAAAAAAAAGCACAACCCAGCACCGCTATCTTATCCACGATAGCATCCCTGATTGTGAGACAGCCAATGGAAAGCAATGTTGTGGCGCTTCACCGTGGCAAGCAGGTCGGCCCTCCTCCACTTTCAACAATTTGTAGCCCAGGGCTTCCTGACAGATGGCGAAGTTTTCTCTAACCAATATAATTTAGAGACCCATTAGGCAGAGTGTAGGTGCCATTCAAGATAATGTTTCAGGCTCACCCATTTTGCTTTGCTGACAGTACTGACAGCCCTGCCTGTGCTGCCTATTGACTTTCACCCAATCCTAAAGCTGCTGTCCCCTTCTGCCTCACCTGAAGCTTTACAGGGTAGGAAAAGGGGGGAGGATTCAGCAAAAGAGGTGGTGAGATGGTGATAAAGGTACCAATTCTGTGTGAATACCTATGCAATATCAAAGATCTTCATCAGTTTAGCGACATAACAAAAACAAGCCTCCATACATGTAAGGAATGCATCAAAACTCAGAAAATAACAAAGAAAAGAAGCTGAAAAAAAGTTAATCACAGCTCTGTTTTAAAGCCCATATGCTTTTCCAAAGGTGAGATTTTCTAATAAAGTTCAATACATTTCCCACGGACGTATTCATGAATTCAGCCACTTTAAAACAGTAACTGACATTTCATGCTTTTGCAATGGCTCACACTCGAGAAGTGTCATGCATCTGTTTAAAACCAGAGACTATTCTTGTCACAATCACACATCTTTGCCTTTGACAAGCTTATCGCAAAATCCTCCCGGCTGTGGGGAACTATTTGTGAAACAACCCTCTCTTTTCGCGTTAACGTGGATCACACAACGTTCGAACGACATATTGAACACTTCATATACTATCCTGATAGTTAACATTTTTTTTTTTTAAAGAGCCAAAAGAACTCGTTTTCACCTTTGGAATAAGTGAGGTCCGCAGGAATGTGGAGCGATGCTGCAGCTTCCCAGGAGCAGCCGCTTTGAGACGGAGCAGGTGTGGAAGCGCTGTACGGAGAGTGAAGATGTACCATCCACCGGCGCGTAAAAGCCCAACGAGAGAGAGGGGGGGAGAAATCGAGGCAGATCTGGGAGTCGGGTCGGGAGACGGAGGCACCGGGAGGACCGTTTTGGTTCTGCGTGCAGTCCTCCTGGACTTTGCGCGGAGGCGCTGGAACAGCCTCTGTGCCGAGTGGATGAGCTCCAGCTAGAGTGGTGCTCACCTCTCCAGCAGCTGCGCGCTACTGAACAAAAGAGTGCTGCTGGGGATCTCTATTCAAATAGCAAGAGAGGGACGGATGGGAAGGAGGGGGTGATGGCCGAGCAAAGGGGGGGGAGGACGGTTGGTGAATGGAATGGGGGCTGTCCTTAAAATTTAGGTTGTTATAATGACCTGAAGTTTCTGCAAACAAATTCCAATCTGCTTATTATGATTCATGGAGTCTAAACAGATATGATGAAATGGTTATGAAAACCTGTTAATGACCAGGTCTGGCCCCTCTGTGCTGCTATTGGCTGCACAGTCCTCGTTCGTCCTTTGTCTGGGCGCTGTAATTAACGAGCTCTGGGAAAGAAATACCCTGTTTGGCAGTGAGCTCGACCTGACTTTTGCTTGTAATGGGCGAGATTAGGAAATCAAATTAGACTTACACACCGACTGCCTTGGGTTTAGTTGTCAGGCTTAAGCAGCAAAACATTTCAAACTGACTCAACCGATCAACAACCGATTTTTACGCAGATTTGAAGGGGCTATTTTGCATTTCAACTTACATAAACTTCTCGTGTGCTTAAACGACGCTGATATTAGTCTGAAAAAGTGTTGCTTGTATACATTCATAGGCACCGTGAGCGAGCCTCCACTTTGGTAAGCCAATATATGTAGAATAATGACCTCTCAAGGGAGTCCTTTCCTGTGCAGAGAGACGGAGGCTTTGCGCAGCACAGCTGTACAATTCAAAGCTTGATCGGGGTGCTTGCATTGGTGTATGTTGGTGTCAGAGTGTTTTTTTTTTCTATAGGCAGAGGGCAATATTACCATAAGCCTTGCGTGCTACAGAAAGTCTCTTCTTTGGAGCTTGTGAAGGACTGCGGAGCTATCCAGGGTGCTGAACGCGTGGCAGCACGGCTGTGCTTCAAGGAGATGCAAGTACTGAATGAACTGTTGGGACTCAATGGGAACTGCATCACTGAATGACACCTTTAACCTGCTGCGTTTTAATATGAGGACGTTGCATTTTTCCCTCTCTTTACAATCACAATCCTTCTTTTTGACTTTGAACTCTTGGCCTCATAGCAGACACCATCAGACACTATTTGAAATCTAAAGTAAAATGGTTTTATACACTTTCAACCAATCATGTTGTTATTGTGTCAACATTTTGTTAATGAGTCATTCGGAGCATCACAACCAAACTGCAAAAACATTGAATACATAAACAAACATTTTAAATATAACCATATACCCACTGAGTTTATATGAATAAAAACTACCTGAACCATGACAAAGTCTAATTATTAAACTTTTAGGTCCTACTAATCTCAGATATGTAGAAAATAGCAAATTTGCACTCCAAATAAAAGCTCAGGTCTCAGGAGGATAAGACAGAGTTCAGGGTTTTCAGAGATCGAGGCGACTGGAACAAATTTTAGAGTCCATTTCGAAGATTACCTTCAATTAAAATTGAGGCAGCTGAACTGAAAAAGATATAGCAGTACACATTTAACAAATAAGGTTTTAGCCTTTTCATTTTGCTTATAATTTTTAAAAAAATCAATTAATTAAAAAGACACCAAATGAAGTGTGGTGGTAGTGTTAAACATATTTTCATCTCCAAACTAACTACAGTGTCCAGAACTTTGAAAAGTTAACTAAGGTTGTCTGTTACCAAGGTTGTCGCAAAGTTTGTAATAAAAATGTGTGGGGCTCTTTAAATAAAGATTTTTTCACTTTTAGAGGATCCAATCAAATATGGGTGCTTCAAAGTAACAAAAAAAAAAACTCAACAAGTTCTGCTTGTAACACTTGTGTATAACAATAAAAGAATTTTCAGTTTGAAACAAAAAGTTATTCCAACTTTGTGTCTCACATTCCCGCTATGTCCAAATTAAATCTTGATATTGTTACAGCTGGTGAAGCCGTGACAATGTCAGGAATTTAACCAAATTCATATTAAAGTCTGCATGTTAGTTAGTTCTTCATCTGAAATCTAAACCAGGAGGAGGAGCAGAGCCTTTGGCTGATGTATGTGTCTGGTGAAGGCATCAGGAAAAAAGCTAATCAGTGCTCCTGCTGCTCCTTAAGAAGGGATCTAGATGGTGGTAGATGATTAACAGCTGTGGCAGCTACCAGACTCAGCCCTGAACTTCCACACGGCCTGCTCGACCCGGCCTGTAATTAAGAACGCATCCCCAAAGGCCACACCAGAGCATGACAGATAAGTTCAAAACACCAGCCAAGTCCTCAAACAGACCATTTAAAGAAAGCAATACATGAAGACCAACAAAAGCTGACCTCATCTGAGGTAAGTCACTATGTAAAAACTCTGCTGACAAGGTTTGACTTAAAACTGTGTGAAATTAAGCAAGTTCAGATGGACCCTAGTCTTTTAAATGGATGTTTTGAAGATAAGGACCACTAAACTAAAGCCTGCTAAAAACAGTGCTGTAAACCGTGGCAAAGGGAATGACTTAAAGGTCACACAGTGTAAAGAGGCAGGCAAGATTTATCCTACGTGCATGACCGTTTATGAGGTAAGCTTCTGACCGCCCATACCGTAAAAGGAACATTTTTATTGAGTGCATTATAAAAATGTATCACAGTAGGAAAAGGGGCTTTGCAGAAGGAGCAGTTTATCATCATCCTCTGGCCGTAATCAAAACTTTTAGTGTTGCATTTTGTTTGGTCTGCAGTTTAATCAAAGCTTTTACAGAGCAGAAAAATCATTAACCAAGCCTGAGGGAGTCATTCAGCCATTGACTGTGAAATGGATGCTGAAAGATTATTTCTCTTTAGATGACAAGAGAACAATTTAAATGCCATTTTCTAAATCAGGAGCAGGATCAAAACTCTAAGATGACTCCGAGGCATTAAACAGTCCATTGTACCAAACAGTGTGTGCTCCCCACATATAGCTGAAGCATATTATCACCCTCACAGTCAGTTTCACTTC